GATAGGTATCTTTTTTATTCTATTTATCTCAACATGTTCAATGTGAATTTATGAAAAACAAAATAGAGACTGACTTATTTATCATGTTTATAGAATCTACACATATTATTCGAACTGTTTTCAGATAAACCGAAAGTAGAATGTTTTGCTTTATAAAAATATTGTTTTCCTGTTTAAAATTATTAATAATCTTTATGGTTATATTGCTCATTACAAGGGTTATTTGAATACAGAAATTGTTGTTTAAAAATGATCAACTTTACAAGAAAATAATTACAAAAGCTAATATAAAAAACAACGAGTCAATATATACATATATTCTTAGGGTTATCTATCTGTTTGTTATAAAACAAATCGAAAAGTAACAATAAGAAATAAACAAGGTTCTTTAACAAGGCTCTGTCCGGGTATGTGTGCCTTAGGGATCTACCCCAGCCATGTCAATAAACGGCTGTATCCCTTTGTACTGCACAGGCTGCAGCTAGATACAAGATACACAGCTTGTATGTACAGTGAAATGCCACTGTATTTTCAATAACAAGCCAAACACAATATAACACTGTACAGTTGTATTAATACGTTGTATTTCCATTAGTGCACTCTTCAGAATAAGAGGCGCATTTAGTCGTCTGACTGGGACAGCATGGCATTGCCGATGATTGCAGATAATACAAAACATGTCAGTTTCAATCCAATTATAAATGTTAAGTACATTTTTTATTCTAACTAAAGAAAAAACATATGTGAAAGAGCGAAAACCCAAACTTTATCGTCCATTAATAAAAATACATTTCCGAGGTGTGTAAATTGACTTTAAATGTACCATTACGATAAATAGATATACATACGATCACCAACAAATGTAAATTAATATCCTTGTCATCTCTACTCTTGATTTAAATAAAGTCCACATCAATAAAATATTTCATATGGATTTTGTAAGGATTTGTTCATCGGCATTCAACGTGTTGTTTACATGTTTATGTTACGTTTGTCCCAAAAATCCCGCGAGATTTGTACATTCTCCAACTTTTTCACAAAAGAGCGCACTAAGAACTATAACTCTTCTATAGTGGAAATAGAAAGTATTCACAATGACTATTCTCTTTATTCCAATCACCGTACCCGTTAGAGGACCTTCTTCTCTGACAGCCAACGCAGAATGACAAACTATCTCGGATGCACACTTATATAATTGATTGCGCCCATGACAAAAGGGCCTTATGGCATTTTTGCTAGAACAGAGAAATAACGTCATAAAGATGTGACGTTGCAGACTGACGTTGAACTTCGACGCAGAATTTTTTTAACCACGTGTTTTGACGTTTGACGCATCCAAAGTTTTTATTGCTGTTTCCAACATGTGGAATTTATTTTCATTTATAAATAAATTTAAACAATATCTGAATCTCCCAATCCACTGATTTTAATATATATAAATGAAAATATTAAGAACTGGTTTCTTAACAAACATATCTATTACACATCTCTAACACCAACAGTTTTCCTACATCAGTACATCTTCGCTAGCGATTGCCGAAGATGAGAAGCTGTCGACAAGGTGCTTTTCTGATAGAATAATCAACTTATATACACTAGATAGATAAATTTTATTTACATATTTATATCAGATTTAGGATGCATGTTAGACGGGGTATATTGTTAAAATATTGCAAAGGAAGATTGTCTTCCTTTTTTGAGATCTCGATATACATTGCAATCGCGTCAATCACATGTAAACAATGATCCATCTGTGCATACTACTTTAACTTTTGTTAAATTGTTTGTACTAATGTTGAAACTTAACATACATCTTTTATGTTTTTACAAATTAAACAAAAATGTGTAAGAACGACAGTAAACTTTAGATGTTTGTATTTTCTATAAATAAAAAATAGGAGAGATAACTCTGATGTCAACAATCGATATAACAGGGGTACCAGAGAGGAACTTTCATTTGTATGAATTTGAATTTTCTCCCGGATTATAAAAGAGATCTTTTGACCAAATAAAAACACTTTTAACTGTCAGCATAATTATGATTTTTTTAATAAACAATATTGTTGTACTTTGGGAACAAGGTCCCGATAATGTAGAAAAGGAAAAACAAAGGGAAAAAAAGGAAAACAGTAATTATTAAATAAACAAACGTTTATTTAAAAACGTCTGGGTCTCAAAATGTCTGGGTTTTTTTAAAATCTCTCATCCAAAGCTTTTTTTTTTTTGCATGAAATGATTTAATATTGAATTTCATTTTTAAAAAAAATAATATACATTTAAAGTATCTAACGTATCATGAATCATGATTAAATAAATTAAATTTAAAAATGTTGTTTTGTCTTAATAATTTTCTTGTTGCACTATAACACACTTCAATTTAGAGAAATTAAAACAAGCAAAAAACATCCAAATAAAAAAAAATGTTTTAAATGTCCTAACTTAATTGAATAGAGCTGTTCAAGTAAATCTGATAAGAGAGAGAGGGCAAGAGAGAGAGAGAGAGAGAGAGGATGGAGGGTATAGATAAAGATATTTATATAGAATCTATTTATCCTATATTGAGAAGTGTGAAACTCTATTGAAAAAGATAAGTTTTCAAATCAAACAAAATAATACAATACTCTAAAACGAAGAAAAAATTCTTTTTTGTTATTTAAACTACATGTATGGCTATTTACCGGTATTTTCAAGATCTCCGAATTTAATATACATGTATCTTTTTGGTACTTACATGGTGTTTTTTTTTAAACAGATTTCAAATTTTTTAAGAATTATCTGCAAATTAATCCCTGAAACCATGAAGAACTTTGTCTTTCACAAAAGCTCGATCAGCATTGAATGTCTCCTAACAGATCAATTATCATGCAAAAAACCATTTCATCACTGGACTTATAATCTCATTGCAGTTATCAATGTGGAATATATTGTTTAACCTGCCATCAAATTATGGTTAAATATCATTATACTTGTATAAGTACATATTATGATTTTGTTTGTTTTGATTGACAAAAAAAATCCTTATAAATCCAGGGTCGGGTTTTATTTCTTCATGTAAACGCTGACATAAAATAAAATTCAATGCTGAAAATACACGACACAAAACCGCAACAACATGCTTGCATTTTGTTTTATTTTGGCCGCAGTGCAGGGGATCGGGGTGTCCTTTTATATCTCTGTAACATGTAAGGCTTTACAAGGCTTAGCATATATCAAAGCTTCTGGCACGGGAACAGAATGGAATTCATACTCTGTAAAATTCACTTCATAAAATAAAAGTAGAAAACAAAATCATTTAAATGAAGGGGAATTTTTAAAATTAAGTCATAAAATAATATGATGAATGTTCTATGATGCTTACATCCCTACAAAAATCTGACATTTTAAAACTCAGCCAGTTCACAGACAATTGTCTGGAAATATATTATACAAAACAGTCATATTTAACTGACTGTATATTTAGGCATGGACAATTGCATAATATTAATTTTTAACCCACCCCTACCCCAACAAAATCTATACATTAAAATGCATTATTCAAAAAAATTACAGGATATAGTTATTATTGATTTGTCTACTGGATATTATTTTGAAATTAATGACAAAAAAAAAATGACGAACCAATTTTGTTCAAAATTCTTAATATTTTGTTTGAGAAAATAATTGTTTAAAAAAAACTGAACGGATGTCGCCCACTGTTCAGGTCTCTTCCTGATGTCAGAGAAAAGCGAAATGTAAAACAAGCAGTAACTCATAATTCTATACACCACTGATTAATTCATAATATATTATATACATGTATAACAATTAAATAATTATTAATAATTAAAAGAGACAATGAGATAAAAATGATATGTACCTGGTAAATATTAAATATTATACAACTATTAATTACCGTAGTAAAATTGCAGAAGAAAATCATTTTACGTTCACTCGGAAAACGTTTGACGTTGTTGAAAAACATGACGTCATACTGAACCTGTTAACGTATCTTGGATAAAAATGAAGAAAAAACCTACTTAGAGTAGACGTAGGACCATGAAAATTCATATTTGGCAACTTCTAACCTTACTCTATCAAAATCCGTGAAAAACTCAAAATGTATAAAAATTGCCATAAGGGCCCTTTTCCCATGGGCGCAATCATATACTCTAGCGCAACATCCGGACTAACTCAGCATTCATCTTATCCCTTATGATAAAACCCGTTAATGACTGAATCCCGAGCCCGATCGTCAAGATAATTATATTTTGATAAATGATATAATAAATCTCAAAACAGGGGGCCTTATTCTTGAAAAAAAAAACCAGTCCTTTTCATGTACATGTACGTACATGTGTCACGTAATCAAGTCCTAAATTTTAAATATTTACGTCAAAACTATAACATTTACATTACACTTATTTTCTGCATATAACATTATATAAAGTGAACGAATGGTAATCTATAGCATTCAAAACACCATCACACGGACAGGGTGACAAACGGTTAAAACATGCATTTTAATATGATGTCACAATCAATGAACGCCTATGAAGTGCAAAGTAATTATTTGATTTTAACACTGATTATATTCCTTATTTTAGCACATGTCCCGATTGGCCATATTTCCGAGAAATCGCCGATATCAATGTTTATTTTCTTGATATTTAAATCAAATTAGAATATATGCTTAAAAATTTATTGAAAGTCCATTCCTATACATAAAAGGAATAAATGACATTAATTAGAAAACAGACATCTTGCTTGGAATAAATGTAAATTGAAAAACTTGTAGTGTTGTGCGTGATGTTTTGGGTAAATAAACATGGCGTTGAAGGAGTTGCCTATCGGGTTAGTATATAGGTTTCTGATATAACCAATGAATGATTATTATTTGAAAAATTTGTCTCATAATATGCGTTGCTCAATTTGTTTGCACACACTGTTGCAGTTATGAGACTACCGGTATATCTTTAAAAAGATATTGATTCATAGTTAACATGTTTAAATTTTAGGTTCAGTTCAGGATGAATTCTGCTTATGAAGTGATGAAGGGAAGGCCATGGAAAGCTGTCAACTTTGATTGGGATTTTTCAGTCAGTGATAAAGGACTCAAGAGAGGAATAGCAATTATACCAGAGAGGAACAGTTTTATTAGAATGTTGGAAGATTTAAAGTTTCAAATTTATCCATTTGACCATGAAGATGTAAAGTTGACAAGAAATTTATCCAAGTCTAAATTTTTGGATGAACTGAGGGAATGTGAGTCAATGTTTCACTGTTTATTTTAATCCACTATACACTGTTTATATCAAACATGAATCCAAACATCAAAGTAGAAACGTTTCAGCTAGATCTAGAGATATATCTAATGCATTAAGGGAAATTTTCGTCCCTCATTTTATTTTTTTTTTTTTTATACTGATCTTAATAATAATGTGATATAAGAAGTTTTTAAGTGTTTTTTGAATATGTTTTAGTTAAGAGACTTTGCTGTGATGGCTCGTGTGGATGCCTTTTGGTGACAGTGTCCTCCCATGGAGTGATTCTACCACAAAATGAACAAAAAGGCAGCCAGACAGACAATGTGGAAACACAAGACGGACAGACAGACAAGGTTAAAACATACGAGGATTACGTTTTGACACATCCAGAACCAGGCAAAAATGGATTCTCAACAAACTTTAAAGATGAACGTGTCTCAGTGCGGGAAATAGTTGAAATATTCAGAGATCCAGATTTAAAAGGAATACCAAAAATATTCTTTATTCAGGTACAGATGCACTTAAAGATTTTAACTTGTAGGTATAACACCAAATTTCTCATCGTCGCAAACCACGGCCAAAATGTACACAGCTAATTGTGCCACATACATTTCACGTATGTTAAACGTATGTGACACGTACGTGACTTCACATACATTTTCCATGAAAAAAGTACCACGTATGTTATACATACGTTTTCACACGTGTGAATATCATGCGTGTCACGTATGTTAAACGTACGTATTGCCCACCATACGTTACACATATATTGCACACGTACGTTATTCATACGTTTCACGTATGAATAACGTACGTGCAACGTGTGTGTAACATATGTTTCTCATAACATGTTTAATGGGTTTATTATTTGCACTGCACATATAGTAAATGTATGAATACCATACAAAAATGTGTCAAACCATGGTTAAACACGTTTTGAACATTTTTTTCACATATTGTAAACGTTGGTGAAACAAAAATTACGTGAAATTTAAATATTCAATTCATGCATTTGACATAATTTCCCTCAAAGGCATATATTCTTTTCATCTGTTGAATGATCCACTTTCTGGTTATCCTTCACTTTAAATTTCCTGATCCTTAATTGCTCTTGAAGCAATCACAACAAAAGACATATTTAGATTTAAACCAAATTTAATGTAGAGTATGTTAACATCAATTCATTTTTCTCCAGTTCTCTTTTGCCTGTAAAGAAAAAGAAAATATTAGAAGCATGGAATAAGGGAAAAACCCATTTTTTCCCCTGAACATTATTATTATCCCGATATTAATCCTGGTTGATTCTCTGTATAACTTAAATATAAATACTAAATAATTAATTTTTTAGTATTCATAACCATGATCTTTTAAACTATTTTTTTCACTATATCCTCAAATATTTACCTTGTAATTCTCTTATCTAAAATTCATTACATAGCATTGATTTGTGCGTGTACTCGGAAAAAAAGATGTGTTTGTATATACTAATACCCCATATGCCAGCTTATGGTTAAAGTTTCCCAAGTGTAAGTCAAACTCCAAAGTCAAGGTCAAAGGTCAAATTGTTGACATCCAAGGAAGGACTTGTCACAAAGAATAAATCTGTGAAATATGAAAGCCCTACTACTACCAGCTCAAAAGTTATGATCAAAGTTAAAAATTTTTAAACAGTGGGTTAAACTAGAAGTTCAAGGTCAAATATTTTAATTTATACCCATTGAAAGGTCTTGTCACAGTAAATATACAAGTGAAGTATGAAAGCCCTTGCACCAACTGTTCAAAAGTTATGGCCAAGATTCAAGTTATGAAACTTTCTTAAAAGTTAGTCACAATCCAAGTTCAATTCTAAAGGTTAATTTGGTGTACCAATACAAAAGTATTGTCACAATGAATACCCAGGTCTGTGAAATATGAAGGCCATACTTTCACCCACTAAAATAATATGGCCAATGTGAAAAGATTTTGCAGACAGACAGACAGGGCAAAAGCTATATAGATGTACCCCAGAATCTTTGATTACAGGGATATAAAACTTATTCCTCATTGTCATGAACTTAGTCATTTTGCTTTCAACTTAGGAGCATTGTATAGATTTTCAATGAATCAATGCATTTTCAGTTTATGATTAATTAATAAAGCTGTGCCTTTACATCTGATCCACCTACCCTGGGGCTATATGAATTTCATAATTTTAGTAGGACTCAATGCTTATTAAAATCTTGCTAATAGTTTGCTTGATGTCCAATCAAAAAAATACAATTTTGAATAATTTTGATGGGTTCAGGGATTAATCTAGGGCATATTTACTACCGATAATGGGTGTTTTTCCCCTACAGAAAATTTCCCCTGAAGATCTAATTTTTTCCCTTTTGATGAGTAAAATATTCCCCTTACAATAGTAAAAACCTCAAATATTTCTTTTTCTTTCATAAAAACTGAAAATTTAAAGTAAAATTTTCATTACATGAGAAATATGGTTTTAATTTGCTACTTCATGCATTTTAAATGGTCATAAAAATGCTGCAAGTCAATTAGCCCCAAAGCAGGGCTTGCCCTGCACTAGCTCAAGTGGTTCCCATACCTCGGCTCATTTTCCCAATTTCTCCAGAAAGGGTAGTTTCCCCCAAAACCTAGATTAATCCATGGGGTTAACCCTCCCTTAGTTTGGGTGGCGGTGTTGGGAGGAGGCTGTAAATGTTAAAATTTTACCAGACAGAGCACAGTGTATGACGATGGACAACTGGAAACCCAAGGGCCTTGAATCGCTCTTCTAATAAATTGTACAATCTATCACTAGTATTTGAAGCCTCTATGTTTATAAGACCCAAAATACATCAACCAAGAAAGTTCCATAATGATTCTTAGCCAGTTAGGACTGAAGATATTTCAATAGAGCTATAAAATACCATAAGTAGGTCATGGTGACCTACTTTTTGGTCGACATTCTCCAAAAACCCTAGATGCCTCAACTCACAAAGTTTAACAATTCTAGGCCAATATAGACTTCTTTTGGTTTTATCTTCCTGTTTATCTCCCCTTGTATAAGGGTCCAAACCCTAATTTTAGTATAAATGGTAGCCCTTGGGCCAAGGATGCTCTGTGAAAATTTGATACACCTGGTGCTGACCAAGACAGTTCACTGCCTCAACATGGTCAATATTTTCTGTTTTTGGTAACCCAAGTCTCCATTATGTAATACACTGAAAAAAACACCCCCCTTAGTGTACATGCAACACACAGTCATAAAGTAATTAAATAATTGTTGATTTTTTTGCATTCCTCACCTTTAGTTAGGCCCTAGAACTTGCAGACGTCAGACTTCTCTTTCCAGTGACGTCACTGGTAATGTACATGTAGTACATAAATGGAGGCTGGAAAATTCCGGAAGGTATATTTTATAAGTTTTATACGGACGGTACCCACTTGTAGTGGCGCCGGAATTGATTCCGGATTCGGTTTGATTATTACTTCATTTACTGTTTGTTCCGGCATAGGCCATGCTTGTTTTTTCTACAAAACTTTGATCTATATTTTGGTGTTTGTGCCCCTAAAGAGTAAGTACACTGTGTATATTTGTCATTTGTCATGTAATTGATTATAATACGTAATGCTTTCACACTGTTAGCGATGCTCATGCCTGTTTTTATGATTTGAAATGTGGGTTTTTTATTTTTGTTCGTGTATGGCGTGCCTTAATTGTCATTATTTGATAATCTGATATTAAGCGATAGTATGAATATCTTGTGTTGTCTTGTGAGATTATATTATGTAATTAATGTTGTCCTCACATGTATTTTTCAGTTTCCACCCTCAGTGAGAGAGGTTTGTGGGTTAGAGCAATAAACAATTTTCCGTAAATTTTTGTTGGCTCGTGAACACTTACAGTGGAAATCTTTAGGGGCAGCTTTCTTCACTCTCTCTTAATATGGCTCATGGATTTACTACTGAAACAAATCCTGAGATGTCCCACGATTTGCGGAAAGACAGAGAGCTATCTGAACTTGGATCGGAACAATATACTCAGACTGTTTCATCATATTCAAAGAGGCTATCACAGTGCCAAAGTGACATTGACAACATTTGTGAGTTTGTCGCGAAAAATCCTGTGCATCTTAGAGATGTGAACAGCATCATAAACAAACTGGACAAAAACATTAGTGAGTTCAAGAAGTTGTATACCAAATTTTCAACTTACCTTAGTACCCAGAGAACATCAGACAGTATACAAGAGAATTCTAAGTGGAAAGCAGTTCTGGACTCTACTAAGACCAAAGTGTGTGATGTTATTAAGGGTTTTAAGGTTCCGAACAAACCTTCATCTATGACGATGTCCGGGCGACTCAGTCAGCGTTCCAAGTTATCGTCCTTTCTCTCTCAGGGAGGCATAAAACAGCTAGGGGAAGCTGTACTGAAACACTCTGAACGCCTCTCTTCAGCCAAGGCTCGCCTCAAGTTTGCGGCAGAAGAAGCCGCTCTCCTCAAACAGGAAGCAGAACTTAATGCTAACAAGATCATTCTAAGTACGAAACGTGAAGTTGAAGAAGCGAAATGCAACCTCGAGGCATTGTATGACATGTCGGATCTGGGAGAGAGCTATGCTCCACCATCCAGTGTTGAAGACAACCAACTCGAAGCAGAATCAGTACTTCAACGTACAAAATCTTATGTTGACTCTCAAGAAGATACAAGATCCCAAAGCCAAGACCATCCTCCTACTGAGGATGAAAGTGAGTCTAATTTACCCCAGAGACAGTTGGATAACACAGTAGAACCAACATCTTATTTTGTTCCCTCTGCGAATGGTGTCCAAGCAAATAACATGAACAGTACAGGGTTCAATCCGCGAACACCGCATACTGGACTTACTGACATGAACACGTGCTCGGAGTTTGCTAAAGTCTTTGCCAAGAAGGACTTAGTTTCAAAGATACACATCTTTGACGACAATCCAGAGAACTTTTCCTCATGGAAAGCCTCATTCAAAAATGCAGTGAAAGAACTTAGTCTCACACCCATGGAGGAGATGGGCCTGTTGATTCAGTGGCTGGGGAACACCTCATCAGCAACTCAAGCAAAGAGTATCAGAAACGCTAACGCCTCAAATCCAGGTCGCGGGTTACAACGTATATGGGATCACCTTCAGGATCGCTTTGCTAATCCGGAAGTTGTCGAGTCTGCCATCAAGAGGAAACTCGCTAAGTTCCCTAAGCTAGGAAATAAAGACAATACAAAGCTATATGAACTCTTTGATATTGTGTCAGAAATCGAATCCTTGAAGGAAAACCCTGTCTACTCAACATTGCTCGCTTACTTCGACTCATCGTCAGGTGTGAACCAAATTGTGGCCAAGTTACCTCACTACATCCAAGAAAAATGGGTTACAGAAGCAACAAACTACAAGCTGAGGACGGGACATCCATATCCTACATTTCCTGTGTTTGTGGCATTCTTGGAGAAGATCACAAAGATGAAGAATGACCCTAGTCTACAGTTTGACACCTTACCTGAC